TCTGTAATGAGAATAACAAGAGGACTACCTCTGAAAGTTGCTGTGAGGATTAAATTAGCTAATACATGTAAAGGACTTAAAAGAATGACTGACATTTAGTAATCACTCAATAATACTTTAAAATTAGCTGAAAATTATCATTATCAAGTGTTACCTTCATTGGGGACCTCAGCAATACCATAACTGTAATACAGCATCAGTTATAAACAGTAACCTGGCCCAGTACATAAGATAAAGCAGTAAGATGACTTTAAGATAGCTTGACTGCATAGGGGTTCTAAATGCTAGGAGTTACAAGGTGTTTTGATGGTCAGAAAAGTATATTAAAATCTCATTGTCATATGGTGAAAATGATATGATTACCTAGATTTCAAGTTATCATGCCGTCTCAACACCATTCCCAAATGAAAGTTAAAATGCAAAAACACTTATTTTAATTTACACATAAGGAATGAGATGAGAACTTAGAAGTCTGTGATAAAAGCATGAAGATGAAAATAATAGTAAAAGTCATAGTAGTAAGACTAGTAATATTAGCAGCTAGCATTTATATAATAATGTGCTATGCACTTAATGAATATAATCTTCTTTAATCTCCAAACCCTATGAGGTAGACATTATTTTTTCTGATTTTGTATGTCAAGGACATTAAAGAAACTTGTCCAAGGTCACACACACAGGAAGCAGTGAAAACAGAGATTCAAGGCTGGGTGTATTTTTCTCCAAAATCCATGTTCTCAACTATTGTACTATTATCACTTTCTATATCAACCAAATTCAACACTTACCACCAAAGGCTTACAGATGCCAAGGCATACAGTGCCTCGTGGCACAGCTTTCAAAATCTCCACAGCTTCAGCAAGTGTGGTGTTGTCTAAACAGTATTCGTTGACTGAGACCAGGCGGTCTCCAGGTAATAGTCCTCCACTTCTCTCTGCTACACCGTCTGCTACCAGGGAACGGATCACAATCACTGATCTTGTGGGATCTAAAGGGTCCTATGAATCAAGCAAAGAAGAAAGATGAGCCAGTTCCCTGAAAATAAATATGCAGACTTAAGACCATTTATACTGACTCATGAATCTCATCCGACTATTTACTTCATATGTTCAGCATTCCGGTGATATTCTTCCAAACATGCAAAAATAAATTAAAATATCATTCTACATATCCACATAAATATCAGCTTGTATCAAGGTGAAAATATAATCGTAACAATTTCAATTGCATGTCTGAGTGCTTAAATACATATAAATTTCTTTTTTAATTTTTTAGTGACCGACATTTTATTGGACCACAAGAGGTCTGGGAACAGTTGGGCAAGATTCGTTGACATTCTCAAGCATAGTCATGCTACAGACCAAAGGCAAACCCACTTATTACTCCCCTTGGGCCATAAGTAGGCTCTGAGAAAAGCATGAATATAATCAAGAATATGATATGGCACTCCATTCTTATGCATTCAGCAGTACAGAATCCTCCTACAAAACCACAAAAGTCCAGAAAAGACATGGAAACCATGGAATATTCCACTGCATTTAAAAATATTTTTTAAAATAACATAACCTAAAATTATGACATGGTACCCCTAGGTCAGAACCATCTTAATACAGACCAAAGGCAAACCCACTTATTACTCCCC